AAGCCTTAAGCCCTAACCCCTCAAAGCCCTAAACCCCCTCGAACCTCAAAGCCCTAAACCCCAAACCCCAAAACCCTACCTCTAGCCCTAAACCCTAAACCCTCAAAGCCCTAAACCCCAAGCCCTCAACCCTCAACCCTCAAAGCCCTAAAAGCCCTAAACCCCAAACCCCAAACCCTACCTCTAGCCCTAAACCCTAAACCCTCAACCCTAAACCCCAAACCCCAAACCCAACCTCTAGCCCTAAACCCTAAACCCTAAACCCTCAACCCTAAACCCCAAACCCCCCCCCCCCCCCCCCAAACCCCCCCCCCACCCCCCCCCAATTGAAAGGCAGTGGCACCCCGGAGGGCCTCCTGGGCCCTGGCAGACCTCATCGAACTGCAGCTCCCGGGCACCACAAGCAGGGTTTGGGGGGCTTTGGGGGCTTTGGGGTTTAGAGGTCTAGGGTGTTAGAGGTTTTGGGTTTCGAGGTTTCGAGGTCTCGGGTTTCGGGTTTAGGGTTTAGGGTAGAGTTTTAGGGGTTCAGGGTTTAGGGCTAGAGTTAGAGTTTAGAGGTTTAGGAGTTTAGGACTGAGGGGTTTAGAGTTGTAGGCTTGAGGCTAGGGCTTGAGGATTAGGGGTTTGAGGACTTTGTAGGGGTGTAGGGTTTATGTCCAGGGTTTAGGGCTTAAGATTTGCACAGGGGCTTCTTTGGAGGGGTGAAGGGCTACGCCAGAGGCCCGAGTCTACAAAAAGACGGAGGCCTCTGGGCCCTGAGCCCTGAAGCCCCTGAACCCCAACCCTGAATCCTAGACGCTTTAACCCCCAAACCCTAAACCTGAAAGCCTCAAACCCCAAACCCTAGACCTAAACCCCAAACTCTAAACCTGAAAGCCTCAAACCCCAAACCCTAGACCTAAACCCCAAACCCTAAACCTGAAAGCCTCAAACCCCAAACCCTAGACCTAAACCCTTACAATCCTCAACCCTAAGGACGCCTTCTATCCTCCTGCAACCCTAAAGGGGGATCCTCAGGAGGTTTAGGGTTTAGGGTTTCAGGGTATTTTAGGGCGTCGTGTTTGAGAGTTGGCTTTAGGTAAGTGGCTGGGATGGAGCATGCCGGGGCTACCCCGGCCAACCCGCTGCCAAAAATAGATTCCTTTGGCAGAATGTCTTACGTTTTGGTTTGCGTAAAGCCCAAAGGAGTATTCGACATATTCTCTTCTCATGGTTTTGGCTTGTACAAAGCCTAAAGGAATATTAGACATATTCTATTGTGATGATTCAACGGGGGAGTGTAGGTAGGCCTAGAACGCCCCCCAAGCCCTAGTCCGAGGTTCCCTGTCTACCCGGCATGACAGCGAGTGCCTGGTGGAGCCGATTGTCGCCATGGCAGCACTCTGGCTTGTACGAAGAAGCGGTTTTGGCTTCATGTTTCAGGGTTTGAGTTAGGGGTTGAAAAAGGAGAGAGAGAAAAATGAGAGCGGGAGAGAAAGAGAGAGAGAGAGAGAGGGTGAGAGAGAGTTAGCAGGATAGAGAGCAAAAACATATCAACAAATTTGCGGGCTAGTTGTTTGTAGAGCTCTTGGTTCGGGTCTGAGATCAGGGCAAACGTCCTTATGGCAGGGTTTAGGGTTTAGGGTTTAGGGTTTGGGGTTTAGGGTTTCGGGTTTCGGGTTTCGGGTTTCGGGTTTCATTCTTACACTCTCATCAAGAAACCCAACCCTCCAGCCTACCCCCAGTTTGCGGAGAGTTCGCAGGCCGTCGAGCTGTCGGTGACCGAGCTGTGCGAGGCCGCTGCCCTAACTCCATGAGTGGTTGTTCCCTAAATCCTAAACCCTAAATCCTAAACCCTAAACCCTAAACCCTAAACCTTGTTGCGGGAGGTTCAAAGGATTAAGACTCGCGAGTACTCCTCAGGTTGTACCCCCTAAAGGTTTCCCCTCAGTATGCTCCTACTATGGCCCTCAACCTTAAGTCCAAGAAGAATCCCGTGAGAGGTGGGGGGGGAGGGGGGGGAAATCCTGCTGAGGTCAGCGTCGTGCCACAACCGGCCCGATGTCGGGGCATTGAGCAGACATGAGCAAGTTTATCGCAGGATCATGAAGGAACGTGGCAACGAGCCTTGCGAAAAATGCTGGATGAAAGCGAGCAAAGGGGCTTGATCTTGGAGAAGCGGTGCAGGGTGTCAACGGCCCCACAGCCACGTACTCTCAAACCAGCGAGCGAAGGCCCGCGACCCATCCGCATAACCTTGCCGCCTATAAGGCTTACTTCGGCAGTAGCAAAGCGTGCGCCTTCTTCAGCAGATCAACCCAAAAACCCTAACCCCCCCCAGCAACAAATGCGAAAAACCGAGAACTGAACCCCAAAACCAAAACATAAAACATCCAACAAGAACCCTGAAACGCCTATGAGCCCAAAGCCCCAAAAGCAATGACAAGACACACACACACACAACAAAATCAAAAAAAACCTAAAAACCCTACACCCATCAAAGAAAGAGAGCCTAAGCCCTGAAACCTCAAAACAACCTCAACCCGAACACCCAACAACCCTCAAAACATCCCATGAGAACCCAACAAAAACCATCAACAGACCTGAACCCCCCCCCCCCCCCAAAAAAAAAAAAACGACAACAACAACAACAACAAACAACAGAAGCCATGAAGCAACCTTAAGCCCGTAAACCCGAAGCCCCAAACCCTAAGTCCTGAGCCCTAAGCCCTCAGCCCTAAACCCTAAACCCTAAGCCCTAAACCCTAAACCCTAAACCCTAAACCCTAGTAAGCTGAGCCCGGAGGATCCTGAGTCGCAGAGCCCGGCTCTGCTGTCGGCGCCGCTGCGCGTGACGTCCGCGGAGACGTGGCAGGCCCCACCGAGCCCCCTCCTTTGGAATGAGGTTTAGGGTTTAGGGTTTAGGGTTTAGGGTTTAGGGTTTAGGGTTTAGGGTTTAGGGTTTAGGGTTTTAATCTCCCCCCCCCCCCTTTGAAATGAGTTTAGGGTTTAGGGTTTAGGGTTTAGGGTTTAGGGTTTAGGGTTTAGGGTTTGGGGTTTGGGGTTTGGGGTTTGATGAAGTTAGTAGTAGTTTAGGGTTTAGGGGTTTAGGGGTTTAGAGGTTTAGGGGTTTAGGGGTTTAGGGGTTTAGGGGTTTAGGGGTTTAGGGGTTTAGGGGTTTAGGGGTTTAGGGGTTTAGGGGTTTAGGGGTTAGGGGTTTAGGGGTTTAGGGGTTTAGGGGTTTAGGGGTTTAGGGGTTTAGGGGGTAGGGGTTTAGGGGTTTAGGGGTTTAGGGGTTTAGGGGTTTAGGGGTTTAGGGGTTTAGGGGTTTAGGGGTTTAGGGGTTTAGGGGTTTAGGGGTTTAGGGGTTTAGGGGTTTAGGGGTTTAGGGGTTTAGGGGTTTAGGGGGGGTTTAGGGGTTTAGGGGTTTAGGGGTTTAGGGGTTTAGGGGTTTAGGGGTTTAGGGGTTTAGGGGGGGTTTAGGGGTTTAGGGGTTTAGGGGTTTAGGGGTTTAGGGGTTTAGGGGTTTAGGGGTTAAGGGTTTAGGGGTTTAGGGGTTTAGGGGTTTAGGGGTTTAGGGGTTTAGGGGTTTAGGGGTTTAGGGGTTTAGGGTTTTAGTGTAGGGGTTTATGAATTTAGTAGGGGTGTGGGGGTTTAGAGGTTTAGGGTTTAGGGTGGTTTGGGGTTTGGGGTTTGGGGTTTGCGGTTCCCCCACGTTCTAGAGGGTAGTAGGGGTTTAGGGTTTAGGGTTCGGGCTTTAGGGTTTGGGGTTTAGGGTTGAAGTTCTACAGGGTCCCACAAGGAATTTTCCTATAGTTTATACTAAGGGTCCTTACTAAGAAGTAGGGTACATGCCTTAATGAACGGCTTTTGGAAGATCTGGGGTAGTAGGGGTTTAGGGTTCGGGGTTTAGGGTTTAGGGTTTGGAGACATGGGGCTCTGCAGCAGCATCCTCGTCATCCAGATCATGCCCACCGTCATAATTTTGGGGTGGGTTTCACGATAACATGGGTACCTTAATTCTTTTTCAAGGGGATCCTACAATTTGGGGTCTGTATTTTGGGGTCCCCTATTTCGTAAACTCCCATCTGATCATCAAGATACTTTCTCCGCTGTTCCGGGTCTTTAGAAGGTACAGTATACAGAGACGGAGGTAGCTAGCACTCAAACCGTAGCCAGGTTCAGCGATGGTGGGGGGAGATTAGGATAAGAGAGCCGAGACAAGACAGAGGGGAGAAACAGGGATGCAGGGTGGTGTCTTGAACAATGGGTGTTTTGGGCCTTTTAGGTTTAGGGAAGGAATTCACAACTCAAAAATTCGGCACCCATACGCAGGCCATGCGCATGTGTGTGTGCATGGATGCAGCCGGTCCAGTTCCTCACGTCCGCCAGCAAGTCTTTGCAGCACGGGCACTTGTGACGGCCAGACATACGCATGAATGTATGTATTGGTTTCTCGGTCTTGGGCTTCAGTACCAGGCATCCCCCAATAGCATGCACAAGGCGCACTCTACAAAGCCTTTCTAGCACTGTTAGAGGGCCGATGCCTGCCGCACACAAGCCTGTGGAGGCAGCCTGTGCGCGCATTGTCTACCCAAACAAAGATCGGCTTTGGAAGGAGGTGCAGAATGTCGGCCATAAACAGGAGCGGCAATTGCGACCGTATGCCTTCTTGATGAGAGGCGGCCTCTCATCAATCACCCCACGTGGCGTACGTCTCTGACATTGATCTGATTTTCAACGCCAAGCAGAAGAATGAAGTTTCCGAGGATGACTTCCAGCGACTGCATGCAGCCGCACAGGCACTCTTTCGGCGCGACATCTCCATCACGTCGGCGAAGGTTGCGTCAAATGGGGAGGATGTCTTTGACGAGAGCTGGGCTGGGAGTGGCTCGCTGGCTGAGGTTCTACGATTGATCCGAGCAGGAGGCTGCGACGTTGTCAGTCTGACTGGCGTATACGAGTCCAGCCAGGAGTGGCTCATCCCCATAGACATCACTCTTCAGTGCGGTGATGAGAGGATGACGGACCAGGATCGCATGAGCAAATGCGAAAAGAACATCGAGGTGGGCAACTTTGCCAAGGTTGTCAGTCGAATTCGCTCGCTGATGAGTCCACAGCGGAAGAAACACTTTGCCCGAGACTGGAATGCGTTGGGCGGCAAGCTGCGTTTTTGCTACAAGCAGCTGGAAATGCTTGCGATTGCTGAGGAGCGTAACCTGGATTGGGTCCCGAATTACTTGGAGTACCTAGACCTCAGACCAAACGAAAGTTCAGCTGCTGAATGGAAAGATACTTTGTGGTGCTTTACTGTAACATTACATCTTTAGCCTTTTTGGGTTTATTGGCTTCTTAATAAGGCAGCTAAAAGTTTAGTTTTTTGCTACCCTCCTAAGTGCAGCCAAGGATAAGGCGGAGGCGGAGATGCAGGTCTGCGCGTATCAGCTCTTACGTCGGTGGCAACGGCAGTCCCAAGGCACGAAGTACGGCTACTTGCTGCAGAAGGTGGCGGAAGCCCCCGAGCCTGACGACTTGAATGCTTAGTAGCTGAGTGAGCACACTTTACACTTTTTTAGGGACACTATAATCTTCAAAAGAACTAAAAGTGTACACTTCTTTGGGGCTTATGAACTCAGCAACTAAGAATGGATTTAGGGTTTAGGGTTTCGGCTTTGGGGTCTAGGGTTTGGGGTTTAGGGAAGTTTAGGGCTTAGGATGGAGGGTCTACAAGATAGCCCCCACATGTCAAATGAGTCGCGGTGTAGTGCGTGGCCTTACCATGGTTTTGTTTCAGACATGTGGCGCGGCAGGCTGAAAGACATCTGGGGGCTTCCCGAACTTAGGGGAATCTGATTGGGCCCTTACTATAAGGGAATCCTACTGTTAGGGGTCCCTTATGTTCGTAAACCCCCGTATGAACAACGAACAACTCATGCAGGTTGAAGGGCGGGATTTTGGGCTTGGCTCCTAAGTTTCCTCATAGCCTCTCTCAGGGAGAGCCAATACCCCGTAACTCAGGGGTATGGGGCTCTCAGGGTACAATGATTTGACACCTCACAGGGACCCCTCCCCTCCCCCACCCCTAACCCTAAACCCTACACCCCTAAACCCTAAACCCTTAACCCTTAACCCTTAACCCTTAACCCTTAACCCTTAACCCTTAAACCCTAAACCCTAAACCCTAAACCCCCCCCATCGCAGGTCTTCCTCGGCAGCTCGACATCAACACTGGCCTCTCGGGATGTCATGCCGCTCTGCCTCAGTGGTTGTTTAGGGTTTAGGGTTTAGGGTTTAGGGTTTAGGGTTTAGGGTTTAGGGTTTAGGGTTTAGGGTTTAGGGTTTACCCTGGGGTTTAGGGTTTAGGGTTTAGGGTTTAGGGTTCAGGGTTTAGGGTTTAGGGTTTAGGGTTTAGGGTATGGTACGGTGAGGTTTCGGGGGCTCTTTGTAAAGATCCGCTGCGCGGGAAGATAAGGGCCATATTGAGAGTCGAGTACGGGAGCCTCTAAGTCTTACATCCTTAGGTGTCCAAGTTTGACTCCCCTTGATCTTCGTACGGCTTGAACAACCCCATTAACCCTAAACCTTAAACCCTAAGCCCTAAACCCTAAAGGCCCCCCCCCAAGCCCTGAACATATAGACCCCATCGCGATTTCGGGAAGTCGGCAGGACAGTTGCATGAACTGTTTGCTTCGCGTGAGATCTCCTACACCCATCAGGGTTTAGGGTTTAGGGTTTGGGGTTAAGGGTTTAGAGTTTAGGGTTTATGGTAAGACCCCCCAACCGGATTCCTGGCAGAGGGCGCATGTGCAGTAAGTAGGCTACAGCCTTCGACGGTGTCGATCGCAGTGGAGAGCCAAACAGGCGCAGCAGCTTCAGGGGGGTTAAGGCCCCTAAAGCCCGAAGGGTGTAGGAAGTGTAGGGTTTCGGGTTTAGAGGACATGGTTTTGACAGTTGGTTGGTTCCGTCCCTACAAGTCCTGCAAGCACGATATATCATATGCATTTCAGCAAGCTCTCTCACCAAAACCGTTTAGGATTTAGGGTCTACTTGGAGGTTCATGGCACTTATTAACCAATTACAACTGTACTTGTAACTGTACTTCTAACCATCTTATGGCACTTAAGGGGCTTATAAGTGGGTTATAAGTACAGCTATACTTGGCTAAGAAGTACCATGAAACTCCAAGTAGGGTTTAGGGTCTATAGGGTCTACACTTCAGGGTTCAGGGTTCGGGGTTTGGGGTTCAGGGTCTGGGATGCAAGGGTTTGGGGTCAAGACTCGGCTCCCACCATGTGAGCGGCTTTAATGCCCTGGCCCAAAAAAGATTTACCTTTCTATATAGTAGGATTCTGTATAGGTTACCTACCAGTCCCCAAGCTTGCACCTGCTAGTATTATGTATGCTTTTGGGCTGTTCGCAAACAAAGGGTCTTGGGACGGCCGCAGCAAGATTACCCCGCTACTCCCCTGAGAACCATCATAGGCAATCATACGTTTAATACAAGGGTGTAGAAAATTTAGGGCTTAGGGTTTCGGGGTTAGGGCTGTAAATGAACAACAGAAAGCAGATTCCTGAGGAAAAGCATCATCTCACAAACTTGACGAGGCTGACAGCGTCATTTCAGTTGTGGCAGACCTCGCAAAAGATCTTTGTTGGACTCGCAGGAGATTAGCGGTTCTGCCAGCCCATTCATCATGACCGGAAAGGCTGCTGTCCCTGGTAGCGCAGATTTTGTTGCTGGCAGTGATGAGAACTCGATTCCTTCGCCGGTGTTTGATAACTCTCCAGACTCGCCAAACGTGGTGATGGTTTTAGGGTTTAGGGCTTGGGGTTTAGGGTTTAGGGTGTGGGCGTTTAGCTTTTAGGGTTTAGGGTTTAGGGCTTACCTTTGAAGTTACATGGCCCAACCAAGGCTGAGTCAAAAAGTAGACCCTAAGGGTCTTAGATGATTCTGAGCAGATGAAGGCAGGGTTTAGGGTTTGGGGTTTGGGGTTTGGGGTTTGGGGTTTAGGGGTTTAGGGTTCTAGGTCCATGTACCTATATAATAGTTATATACTTGGGCCTAAAAGTCCCTACATACGAGATACTTTAAGACCCAAGTATTCCCTATTTAAGTACATGGATTCTTAGGGTAGAGGATCTCATTTTGGGGGGTCTTGAGGGTGCCTCGTAGTACCCTTCATAGGAGCTCTTCGTGCATGTGGGGCTGGGGGGGCGAGGGTTCGTTGCCCAGGGTTTAGGGTTTGAGTTTTGTTGGGCAGTGTTTGCGTGAAGGTACTATGGCGTATATTCCCCCGATGTCCTGTACTCGGCAAGTAACCCGAAGCTCGTCTCTAGCCCTAAACCCTAAACCCTAAACCCTAAACCCTAAACCCTAAACCCTAAACCTGTGGAGGAACCATGATGCCGGCGTCGGGGCAGTTTTCCCTGTGCTACGGCACGGGCACGTCCTTGAGCGAGGCGGCTTCCGGGTCCAGGGCTCAGGGCTTCAGGGTTTTCAGGGTTTGGGTTTCAGGGTTTCAGGGTTTGCAGGGTTTGCAGGGTTTCAGGGTTTCAGGGTTTGCAGGGTTTGCAGGGTTTGCAGGGTTTGCAGGGTTTCAGGGTTTCAGGGTTTCAGGGTTTCAGGGTTTCAGGGTTTCAGGGTTTCAGGGTTTCAGGCAGCGTTTCAGGGTTTCAGGGTTTAGGGTTTAGGGTTTCAGGTTTATAGGGTTTAGGGTTTAGGGTTTAGGGCTAGGTCAACCCAACTCACCTTACTCGCGCGGCAGGTGTCTGCCATGCGCACCGATGTGGGGAGCCCCAGACTTCGCGCTGGCGCGCAGGGCTTTAGGTCGCCGAAGTAGGGGTTCAGGGTTTCGGGTTTATAGGGTTTATAGGGTTTATAGGGTTTATAGGGTTTATCGGGTTTAGGGTTTATAGGGTTTATAGGGTTTATAGGGTTTAGGGTTTAGGGCTTAGGGTTTAGGGTTTATAGGGTTTAGGGTTTTGGGTTCAGGGTTTAGGGTTTAGGGAACCCTGCGGCTTCCTAGCATTTGCTGAAGGAACCTTAGTTAACACACCCAAGGAGATACCGCCTCAGGTACTTACTTTTCTTTCGCCCAGGGTTTAGGGCTACCGGTTTAGGGCTTAAACCCTAAACCCTAAACCCTAAACCCTAAACCCTAAACCCTAAACCCTAAACCGTGGTCATTGTTGTTGAAACGCTGTTTGCCCCTTTGCGTCCATGGCCCGAACCAAAGGGCTCCAAGTATAACAGAATCCCTGCGTTTGGGGTCGAAAGTCTGTACACAATACCTCCTTTGGGCTATTTGGAGCCTTATAGGGTAGCCCTGAAATCTTAAACCAGAATGACAACACAAGGTCAAGATTCAAATCCCAACCATGTCTCACAAGTCTCACTTGGATGGCCACGCGCAAGTTTGTATCAAGACTGCGCCCCTCCTGCCCACAGATATGAATGCATCGCTTCCTCTTGCACGATGGTACTTTTCTTCTCTGGCACAGCTTCTTTTTCAGGAGCTTGATCGCGCTAATCTCTCTTCAGTCTCCCTAAACCCCAAACCCTAAACCCTGCACCCTGAGTCGTAGAATGCTCAGGACTCATGCTGGCACGCAGGGTGAATCGTCATAGTTAGAGTTAGTTTGTGCTTCAAGCTTGCAGATTTTCGTTTAGCGTATAGGGTTAGGGTTCAAGGTTTAGGGTTTAGTGTTTAGCGTTTGGGGTTTAGGGTTGCCTGAACAACCCTCATCAACCCTGAGCCCGTAAATTGTGTACCTAGAAGCCCCAAACTTTACATGTCTTGCGTATAGCACACCCTAAACTCTAAACTCGAAACCCTAAACCCTAAACCCTCAACCCCTACATAATGGACAAGTTGAGCCGCTTTCTGCCAACAAAGCAGGGGCTGAGTGGGAGGAGGAGCAGCCCCTGCTAGATCTCTAGACCCCAAACCTTGCACAGTATTCCACTTGGGGTGTAATTACCCAAACCCGAAACCCGAAACCCTAAACCTCAACCCCTAAACCCGAAACCCTAAGCCCGAAACCCTAAGCCCTAGGGTTCAAACCCTCAAGCAGAAACCCTATAAACACCTTAAAGCTCCCCATAAGAATCCCTAAACCCTAAACCCTAAACCCTAGTGAGGCCCTTGGCGGTTGGGCGGACGAGCTTTGGCTTCTCTGCTCTACGGCAGCCCCGGAAGTGCCCACGTGCCTCCACTCAAGCTAGGGTTTAGGGTTGAGGGTTTAGGGTTTAGGGCTTAGGGCTTAGGGTTTAGGGTTTAGGGTTGTTCGCCCGAACCCAAAACCCTAAACCCTAATCCTTGAGATGTTCCCCTTATACTAACAGTCCTTAATAGGGATTATAGTGTCCCCTATTATAATACCTATTAAAGACTGGTAGTATACGGGGGGAACATCCCAACCCTAAACCCTAAGCCTTAAACCTCCAGGGTTTAAGCCCGTAAACCCCTCCCAGAAGGCCACCACTCATCCACAGCAGCCTCGGATGAGGCATTTGTGTCATGGTTTAGGTTTCTGTTCGGGATTCAAGGTTTAGAGCTTTGTGGGTTGGGATGTTCCTCTTCCTTATAGCCAACAGAAGTACTTTTACAAGTTTTGTCTTTCCACTTCGATTTCGCACTGAACGGCAGAGCCCAGGCCTTATTGGGGTTTAGGGGTTTCTGGGGTTTAGGGCGTAGGGCCGAGATCGAAAACCCGAATCAAATGCTGAACCCCTCCCCCCTAACCAACCCGTAAACGCTAAACTTGTACACACCGAAGCCCTGAAAACCTAAACCCTAAACCCTAAACCCTAAGCCCTAAACCCTAAACCCTAAACCCTAAACCCCAAAACCTAAACCCTGAGCCGCCACAGATCCAGGAACGTCCTTCGCGCGGCTGCGCCGTCGGCGCTGTCCATGGCGCCTGGGCCAGCAGAGCCGGCGAGAGGGCGTTTAGAACCCAAAGCCCTCGAACCGGTTGAGGGCTGGGAGGGTTTAGGGCCCCAAGCCCTCTAAACCCCAAAACCCCTAAACCCTAAACCCTAAACCCTAAACCCTAAACCTATAAACCCTAAATACCCTGAACCCTAAACCCTTTAGGGTTTCAAGCGCTTCCGGCTTCGCCCCAAGGCACCCTCGCTGGAGTGGAACGGCGCCGCCTTGCGAGCGGATTTCCAGGCATCCCTTCTGCTCCGGGATGCTGGGAAGTTTGCTGTTTAGGGTTTAGGGTTTCGGGTTTAGGGTTTCGGGTTTCGGGTTTAGGGTTAAGGGTTTAGGGGTTTTTGGGTTTAATGCTCCTTTGTCTTGTCTTGCCCTTCCACATTTGGCCAGCACACAAGCCGAGTACGGCAGGTTAGCGGGTCTATTTGAAACCCTATAAACCCTAAACCCGAAACCCTAAACCCTAAACCCGAAACCCTAAACCCTAAACCCTAAACCCTAAACCCTAAAACCCTAAACCTGGAATCCTAAACTCCTACGCCTGCAAAACGCCGAACCAATCCCTGAAGCCTACAGGCCCCGGGCCCTAGCTTCCTAAACTCCAAAGCCCTAAACCCCAAACCCTAAACCCGAAACCCTAAACCCCAAATCCTAAACCCCAAACTCTAATCCCTAAACCCTAGCCCTAAACCCTAAACCTTAAAACTTAAAACCCTTCCCATGATAAGAGCCTGGGGAGAGGTGGGCTCCGACCTGGGCAGCGTTGGGCGCAGGGCCCCCAAGAGGGTTTGCGGGCTTTAGGGTTTCGGGTTTCGGGAGTTTTGGGGAGGGTTTGGGGTTGTTTAGGGTTTAGGTTTAGGGTCTAGGGGTGCTTAGGGGGTTTTAGGGAGGTTCAGGGGTTTTTAGGGTTTAGGGTCTCGGGGTGTTTAGATCTTAGGGGTTTTGGAGTTTAGGGTGTGGGGTTTAGGGTTTAGTGTTTCGGTGTTTCAGGGTTTTGAGGTTTGGGTTGAGGGTTTTGGAGTTGAGTTTTTTTGTTTGGCAGGGTTTAGGATTTTAGGCTTTAGGGGGTGCGGGTTTGGGGTGTTAGGCTAGGGTTTTGGGGGTTTTGGGGTTTTGGGTTTGGGGTCTAGGGTTTGGGGTTTTAGGCTAGTCTGAATCCAGGCTGTGTATAGAATGTGTCATGCCAGGATGTGAATATATGCCGCGGCCCATCGGTTCATAAGGGGCCCCTTGTAGCCGTTACATGAACGCTATGCAGTGAAAACGTACCGTGCGACTGCCAGTCTTGGGATCAAATCCAAACTGGTAGCGGAGCAGGACCCTTAGGTGGCCTGCCGCTACAGCTGCCTAGGTACCGATCTTGTGGCCCTTGGGCGAGCCGATCGACCCACTTCGCAACTCCGACTTCTACGACGAGACCAAATCCGGGTCATACATCTACGGTGGTGACCCCAGTACATATCATGACTGGGAATTCAGGACGCTCTTGCGCCTGAAGCTCTACGAGGATGCCATCCGTGCGAAGGCCAGTGCGCAATCCCGTCAGGGATCCCAAAGAGGAGACTCTGACGCGGGGGGCGCCCGTGCCGAGGCCGAGCCTGGTGCCGGCGATGATGGCGAGGACCCAGACGGGCCTGGAGAGGATGATGGCGAGGATCCCCCGCGACCCGCCGCAGATGCGACCCAGAGCGGCGCAACCCACGACGACGCGTACTTCGACTTCGAGACGCTCTCCGCCCGAGGCGGAAGAGGAAAAGGGCGTGGAGACAAGAGCCCACGCGTTGTCTCTATGGAAAGCGCCGAGCTGGCGCCGGCGAGCACGAAGGCGAGGACGGAAATGGTACATCGCGTACTCGAAGGCCTCCGAGACGACGCCTTTGATCTGGCGCGAGATATGGGCGTTGAGGCCCTGACAGCACCTGGAGGACTGCGCCGTTACATTGCGAAGCTGCGCGAGATGGTATTTCCGCGCGCTGCGGAAGAAGCCAGAGAGCTCTTCCGCGTGGGACAGAGGCCTGGTACCCTGTCACGCCAGTCCGGCGAATCGATGCTGTCGTACGTTTCACGACGACGCCGGTGGTGGAAGTTGCTCAAGACGCTGGACAGTTCCATCGAGCTTTCGGAGCCGATGCGAGTAGAGCTACTCCTTGAGCTCTCGGGACTATCTAGACAGGAGTCCCTGGTCATTAAGGCATGCACCAAAGACCCAAAGGGCTTTGAGTCCGTTGCCGAGACCCTGGTCGAGCACTACACCGGCGTGCGCCTGAAGGAAGGCCGAGCCCTGGGAGGCTCGATGCCCTCAGCAAAGGGTACCGGAAGGACCCCCTTCTACAAGGGCAAAGGAAAAGGGAAATCTCGAGGATTCCCTCGAAGAGCCTATGCCGCCTTCGACGACGAGATAGCCGAAGAGGAGTACCCAGAGGAGGACTCCCATGAACCCCTCGACTACATCCCCGAGGCCTACGTCGCTGAAGAGCAATGGGGAGACGAAGACGTCGAGGAAGAATTTGAGGAGTATGAGGTGGACGACGCTGAGGCGGTCACGTTGAACACCCTGGAGCTCTTCGAGGACCAGACCCCAGAGGCTGGCCACGCGATCCAGCTTTCTCTTGCTGCCCACACAGCTGTCGGCAAAGCCAAGGGCAAGGGAAGGAAAGGACGCGGAAAAGGGAAAGGTAAGGTAGTCAGAAGTCACCTTACACTTGAGCAGCGCCGAGACAAGCTGAAGGCGCTGAAGGCCAAGTCGAAATGCTTGCGCTGTGGCGGAACAGGACACTGGGCAGGCGACCCAGAGTGCAAGTTCCCTGCCGGAACTGGCAAGTCCGGTGGAAAGGCCGCCAACGTAGCTGTCATGGCACGTGCGGACCTGAGTCGCCCCGACGGATTCGACATACCGTCTGGCACACCGGACATAGACCCATCGGGCTATGTTGTGCGCGCCACAGCTGGTGCAGTCTCTAAAGCAAGGAGCAAGGCTGCAGCATCAGGGTACCCAATGGGACCCACGCCGATCCCGATGGAGATGGAAGGTGGAGATAGGAAGTTCTACCTCGGTCAGCACCGAGGGAAGACCTATGCTGAAGTGGCGTCGAACGCTGAGTACGTCACCTGGGCCCAACTTCAGACGAACCCGAGTCGCCAACTCCAAGACTTCCTGGCCTGGTTCTCGAGATACTACACCATCCAGAACGGCGAGGTGGTCACACGAGCTGGCGAAGGTCTTCCCGAGGGACACTATGTGCCCCTTGTGAAGAACAAGAAGGGGAGCAAGAAGCCCCCGAATCCTCCACTGGAGCGCTGTGCCCAGGGATGCAACGACTTCTCGCACTTAGGCTCGACCATGAACATCCTCAGGAAGACGTGCCGGGACTGTGGTAACGTGAGCCAAGAGCCGCGTCAGATCACCTACACGCACGACCCGGCGACCTGTCCCCATGATGTGGTGGATCGTAGAGGCAGTTCACGATCGGTTTCCCGCACGTTCTGCAAGCAGTGCGGAACCTTCGTGGACGAGGTCCCCGCCGAATTCCAGAAGGAAAGAAGGAAGGCTGCAGGGCAGGCCTTGGCGGCCACGGAAGAGGCCCTCTCCATGATCCAATACACCACTTCGGAAGATGCGACCCGCGAACTCAACTCCGACGAGGTCGAGTCCGTCCTCAGCATCTTCACCGACGACATCATGGAGTCAATGGCTATGGGGATCAGTATGACCCCGAATGTCATGCATGGTCGACTCAAGGAAGCGATCAGCCGAAGTCGTATGCTCAGCAACGACGAACCAAGGGGGTAGTCCTGACTCTTGGGCGAGAGTTGCACATGTTGGAGTCATCGACCCAGCAATCCTCTCCAGAGAAGAAAATACCCTGGAGAGATGGAAGAGGATCGCCCGTGACCTCTTCTCTGAGCACAAGAAGGTAGCGCTCGAAGACGCCCGGATGCCTGCACCGGAGTGTCTGCAGAAGGGTCTGGGGGTTAGTCCAGACCTAGATCTAGGCACTTCGCCAGATCATGTCCTACCCCTGCCTAAGTCTGCACTAGGTATGGGAGTAGGGCGTGGCTCCTGCGCAAGGAACTCTACTTCGACTACGAGCTCTACTACCTGGACATGGGACAGCAGCAAGGGCGATCGGAAGACGCTCAAAGAGGACGATCCGGAGACGTCCTCCACCTCGACAAGGACCGGGATTCCTAAGTCAGGGTTCGTGGCTTCCCTTCCCACTGACTTAGTCCCTGTCGACAACCTTCCCCATGTAGACATGTGGGACCCAGATGAGCCCGATATCTGGGGAGCCTTGGATGAAGGTTGCAATTCCACTTGCCATAGTAAGACCTGGGCTATCCAGACGGAAGCTCGCCTAAAGGCTTTCGGTCTTACCTTCCCCTGGCTAAATTCCAACACCCGGAGCTTCTCAGGCCTGGGGGCGACCACCAAAACCATAGGTAAGCGGAAGCTGCCCGTTTGCCTCCAACTTGGGGATCAAGGCGAGACCCTAGCCGGTGTACTCGAAACCCACGAAGTAGACACCGATGCACTGAATCCCCTGTTGATCAGTTTGTTTGCCCAAAGCACCCTCGGCCTTGTGAAAGACATGAAGCGATGTGTGTGTTGGATTGTGGATCAAGACGGAAACCAGCAGTCACTTCCTCTTGCTAGATGCAATGATACTGGTCTTTTACTTATCAATCTGTCATGCTTCCATATTAGGTCTGAACCGCTTCCGAAGTGTATGGATGTTTGTAGGATCAAACGACCTACTACGGAAGATAGGCCTACAGCGTACAAAGCCCCGCAGAGCGATCCTGGAGTAGACCCTAAGGGCTACTCGGCAATCGAGGTTAATCCCGACTTGCTTTTTCTGGATCCTCTGGACCAGGGAGCCATGGTGGAAAGGACAGCGAAGTGGCCCTCCGAGACTGTCGGCAACGGCATTGAGTGGCACCCCACGAACGACGACGTCAACATTAGGGGAGCCCATCCGCGGATCACGATTTTGACCGCGGGGATCAAGTACTACGTCGGCCCCGACGAGAACTGGTGGCAGGACAAGTTCAAGCAGCCTGCGACCTGGCGGCCCTGGCTCGACCCGAAGTTCCAGACGGGGCGCCTCTTCGTCTACGACCTCAGGAACATCGGCAACCCGGGCGAAGGCAGATATGGTGGATGCCTGGGGCGCCACCCGGAGATCATCAAGCAGTTCCTCAGCAACCGGAACGGCACAATGCACCTTTATAGGGCATTGCAGGACATCGACTCCACCCCGCCGAATGAGAACATCGTCACCCTTTTCTTCTGCACTTCCAACAGGCACAGGAGCGTAGCCGCTGGCACGCTGTTGTCCTGTATGCTCAGCAACAGGAAGAGCCAGCACGCCCTCATCCACTACGACGCCCATCGAGCCTGGGAAGGTATGCGTTGTGGAGGTCAGTGCGTGAGATGTGGCGAGAGATTCGATCAGAAGACGATCTTGGACGTGGGCGCCATGGCCACCAACTACCTTAAGGGAGTTGAGCTCGGATCCAGATCGTCGGGTTCGAGCGGTTTGGACAGGAGCACGTCGGTGCCGCCCACGCGCAGGGCACTGAGCCTTGGCCCTGCTGGAGGAGGACCACACCGACCAGATGGACGCACTCAGGCGAAGGCTATGGCGATCATGGGACCGGCTGGCTCATGGGTGACGGGGAGCCTGCGGCCCCCGGACCCGGTAGGTCCACCACCACCTGGTCACACTGCGCCTCCTTTGCCCCCGCCGACTACACCGCACCCGGACGTCGCGGCAGCCATTCCGGCGCCCGCTACACCGCCAGCTACGCCGTCGACTCCCGCTGCACCGAGTACCCCGAAGGTCACGGCGACTAAATCGCCGCCGGCCACCTTTGTGCCGCCGCAGCCGAAGAGTGGACCCAGAGAGGCCACGGAAGACTTGAGCTACTGGCGCGACCGCTGCATCCGCATCGAGGCCATCCACGGGGTGAAGGAGGAGTCGTGGCAGCAGCAGAAGGAGAGACTCGAGGCAGAGTCCCGAGTTGACAAGCAGACCATCACGGAGCTCAACACCGAGAACAAGAAGCTTTTGTCTCGAGCCATCACGGCCGAGACCGAGTTGGACGTCGAGCGTAAGCGCCGACGTAGGCTCGAGCGAGACTCGAGCATAGGCACCGAAGGAACCTTAAGGTCCTTCGACAGCGAAGAGAGTGACAGGGCCCGGTCGGTCAGCAGATCGAAGACCCGTGGCTCTGGAAGCCGTGTTCCCTCGGAACCGCCGATCAAGGAAGAGCCTGGTGAGGAAGAAGCAGTCAACGAGGACATTCAGGGCGGCGACGACGACGGCAAGGAGGAGTTCCCCAGCTACTTCCAGAACGTTGATGGCATGGAGGGTCCAACGCCGCAGACCCCATGGGCTGCGAACTTGAGTTTCAACGATCTTAAGACGTTGATGAACAACTTGTACATCGAGGCCGACCGCGTGTACCCGAAGAACGGCTGGGTTGGCCCCGTCGAGAGGAGCAAGCCCGCGACGGAGGTTCTCAAGCACAACCTCCGCTACTGGACATTCCCATGCCAGCGCCGTATCACCCACAGGTGGGATAAGGCCTTGAGGAGTTTCAGGAAGTCCTCACTCCTGTTCCACGCTGCGACTGGAAAGGCAACGATCCTTCAGGAGGACGTTGCGATGGGCGCCCCTATGGCGACCCTGGCTGGTGACCGCGATCCCGAGGATGTGTATGTCATCGTAGCCCGTTCCTCGGAGCGTGAGGGAGCCCAAGGCCCCTTTCTGCCCCGGCATTCCACGTACCACGGGACGCCGAGCGCACCAGGGCATGGGCGCCGCCGCGACCCAGGTAGGCGTGGCAGGAGCAACAGCCGAACGCGGCCGTTCACCAGACCGCACTACTCGCAGTTCGATCGGCGATACACAGACCGCTCTGCACCAGGTCTTGGTAAGGGGCTATAGGTTCGGGATCTCCTAAGACCCAACCCCAGAACCAAAACCAGCCAAAGCCCCGGAGCAGTCAGTGTACCCAGAACCTCAACCACCTCAACCTCATCCACCACAACAAGAGCCTCGACAAGTACTTCCACCCCAACAACTTCAACACCCTCAAGACCTCGACTACCTCGTCTTCTTCTTCAGGGAGTTCAAGGTCGGTTAGTATCCCTAGTGGAACTAACGAGGGGGTGCATGCTAGTACAGCACTCATGGCAGTTCTATCTAAAGGGCGAAGAAGAACTGTCCGGAATGGCATCCAGGAACTTAGGGATCATGATTTGGCCCTAAGGCACCTTTGCAACACTTCAACCCACACGGTGAAGCCTGGAAACCATGCCCTTCTGATCACCTCCAACCCGTCTGCCTTCCAGGACAACGACTTCAACACCTTCGACACCGGAGTGAACGCAGAGGTTGGATGGACGGCAGAAGGGATTCGGCGAACTCTTCAGGGAAGCAGCCCGAGTGTCATTGTTGTTGCGATTGAGTATCGGGATGATTGTTTGAATCACAGCGAGTTGATGGATGAAGTTGTTTCGCACTGTGAGTGTTCAGGTTCTGAGTTTTTGGTGATTGATGTTGCGGATACTGAGAGATGGAGTTACTTCTCGATTCCCATGTACCCCGAGTTGGGACATGGAGACGTTTCGTATATGTCAAACAGCAAAGACTTGGCATCAGCATTCGAAGGATGGTGCAACGGGGGATTCCCATATGTACCCCCGAAGGGAATGCATGATGTGTTCGACAATGAATTTGCGAACTGGTTGATCGAGTATGTTACCGATCAAACAGCCATTGCGTTGGTTAGCACGTCCTACCCTGCATGGGAGGATGCCGAGATGGAGCCCCTCGACAGCGTCGAGGACGTCGAGGACCGAGCACAAATGGACCCGGGTGAAGAGGCCATTCAAGAAGATCTCGAGCTTGGTGAAGCCGAGGTTCCGAACCTACCTATTCAGGAGGCGGAACGACGAGCCGGATGGAAGAAGCTACCTCAGCGCATCAGGGTAGCGATCCGTCGGCTGCATCGCCAGTTTGGCCATGCTCCCAGGAAGGTGCTCATGAACCTTCTCAGAGCTGCGAAGGTTGATCCGCAGTACCTTGAAGGACTGCGTTACCACCGATGCATCGAGTGTGAGGAGACGAAGCCGAGAAGAAATGCTCACACGACATCGTTGCCCGGCGCCTACGTGTTCAACCACACCCTCGGCGTGGACATCTTCGAGATCCTGGACGCATCTGGTACCAAGTATCAAGTTTTGAACTTGGTGTGCCTCGGCACATGTTTCCAATTGGCCGAAATTGTTCGTGAAGGTCCTGGAACCCCAACTAGCTCCAAGTGTTTGGAGGCCATCCAGAGGCGATGGATCACTTGGGCTGGCCATCCTAGCTCCATGAAGTGTGACCGCGGATTGCACAACCGCGGGATCTGGCCCAGTATATGGGAGCCCATGGAGTGCAGGTCACCCATGCGCCTTTGGAGACTCCAGAAGCAATTGGACGAGTTGAACGACATGGAGGCGTTCTCAAGGCTATGGTCCGGAAGACAGCTGCCCAAGTCCAAGCACATGGTTGGCAACAGATGCAGCAGGTACTCGATGAGGCCTGTTTGGTGAAGAATAGCCTACTCAGGCAAGGAGGCTACTCACCGGCTCAGTGGGTGCTTGGACGAGCGCCACGTGAACTGCCATCTATCCTCAGTGAAGATGGGCACGCAGACCTAGGAGCCATTCAGGACTCCATAGATCCAGAGTCAGCCTTTGCACTCCAGCACCAATGCAGGGCCGAAGCGAAGAAGGCATTTGTGCAGCTCGACACCTCGAAGCGAGTGCAGAAGGCCTTACTCCGCAGTGCAAAACCAATACCCGGCGAGTATCGGGTTGGAGATGTTGTGACCTTTAGGTGCACAAAGCCGGGAAGACGACCTGGTCTCCTGCATCCCGAATCATTGGGTTCGAGGGACGTGAAAAGGAAGCAGTTTGGCTCCTTTGTGAGAACGTTCCTGTTCTAGCCTCAGCGCAGAACATAAGACCCGCGTCGGATGCAGAAGCACTGGCCTTTGACATCCTCCATGGCAAGCAAGTTTTCCCAGATGAGATTCTAGGGGGACAGCAGAACTTCGACGATGTTCGCGAACCTGGAGCGGAGGATGCAGCCCCAATAGAAGAGGATGAGCAAGCGCTCATTCCGCAAGCACCAGCTCAGGAGGATCAAGGCGGACCTCCTCTACCCTCTATCCTCGAAGAAGAGGATGAGCCTACGAGAGAAAGGTCCAGGTCACCACCTGAGCGGCGTGTGCATGCAGCTACTTCGTCGACTACCTCAACGTCAAGAAGGAGGCCTAGTGTTGCAGAACCAGAAGGAGAGCGAACCCCTGGTGGAAGTCGCAGACCATCAACCTACGACATCCAGGACGACTTGCCAGTGCAGATCCGGGAGAGACTGCAGAATATACGCGACTCAGAGACAGCGCGTTATGTCAACGACACAGATGGTGCGTTGAACGCCACTAGGGCGAAGCCACGAGCGAAGTTTATGGCCTTCATGGCAACAAGACTGACGAAGGACGAGATGAAGGACCTGCCAGGAACGCTCAACTACTTCGACTGCGCACCGTCTATCCAGAAAAAGATCGACGAGTCGCGCAAGAAGGAATGGTTGAAGTATGAATCGTTCCAGGCGGCGATCCCTGTCTCAGGCAAGATCCTCGAGGACTTGTTAGCCGAAGGACACATAGCACTGCCTTCGAAGTGGGTCGATACTGTGAAAAACATTCACGAGCAGCATACCGAGAACTTCGTTCCGGAATTCAAATCCCGACTCGTTAGTTGCGGGAATTTTGAGGCCGATGATGGGATCCGTACGGACTCACCTACATCGGACCTAGAGACTCACGCGATGGTATGTGCATTTGCAGCTTGTGAAGGAGTTCCTACCCAGAGCTCCGACATCAAGAATGCGTACTTCCAGGCCTTGCCCATTGACCGGATTATCCTCATGCGACAGCCCCGAGGCGGTTTGCCCGGTGTAGATCCAGAGGCTATGCTCCTGGTCAGAGTGCCTGTCTACGGTCTCCGAGACAGTGGACGTGGTTTTTGGAAGCGGGTGGACAAGGACGCCAAGGACGTTGGCTTGAAGGCGAGCCGCATTTTTCCTGCGTTCTACTACCACACCACGAATGGCAAGGTGGACCTGCTTCTCACCACGCATGTAGACGACTTCTTGTGGGCGTCTACGGAGACTGGAGATGCCATCATGGATCGACTCTTAGAGCGATTCGAGGTCGGACGACGTGAGCGAGATCGACTCCGCTTTTGTGGAAAGCAGTTCGATCGTGCTGGGAGTGACGTACTGCTGGACGTGACGGACAACACACGTCGAATCACCTACATCGACATCGCCAAGAGCCGCAAGCCCTCCGATCCCATCACTCAAGGTGAAGAACGACAGTTACGATCCGTGGTGGGGAGTTTGAGCTGGATAGCTCGACAGGGGAGACCGGACATACTTTACAAGGTGTCCTACCTCCAATCCAAGATCAAGGGCGCCAGCGTTGCTATCCTTAAGGAAGCAAACAAGGTCTTGGAACTTGCCCTCACCGGCAAGGATCTTAAGATCAGATACAAGCATGGAATCTGTGAATTCATGCAACTTGGCGTACTGACGGCTTCAGACGCCAGTTTTGCCGCTGAGCCCGGAATGCGATCACAGCAAGGACGCATTCACTTCCTTGCTCCAAGGAAGCAGTTGACTGATCCCAGCAACTGCGATTTTGACGTGATGCTCGTAGCTACAGCAGCACCACGATCAAAAGAGTATGCAGAGCAACTCTTCAGGCTGAGACCAAGTCAATGAAGCCTGACTTGCTCATTAGAGTACTCAGAGACTGCTTGTATCATATCGAAAGGCAGTAGAGACTCTACCCGTTGGCTACGGACAGGAGTGGCTACGGAGACGTAGGACGTCGATGCTTAACACGACATTCCCTCTATCTCAAATTCACACCTGAGAAGAGGATGAGTCTGAATCCAGGCTGTGTATAGAATGTAGTCATGCCAGGATGTGAATATATGCCGCGGCCCATCGGTTCATAAGGGGCCCCTTGTAGCCGTTACATGAACGCTATGCAGTGAAAACGTACCGTGCGACTGCCAGTCTTGGGATCAAATCCAAAGCTAGAGATTTTGGGTTGAGGGGTTTATCGCCCCTACATATAAACCTTATATAGTCCCGATGTCCCTAAGGAGCCCCTAAATAACCCTCAATAGCCCCTGAGGTCCCTTCCAAGGGTCCCTCCTTTGGTCCCTTGGGCCCTAGAGCTCCTTTATAGGAACCCCTTTAATGTCGTATCCTGATTAGTGTGGACCCCCTCAATAATGAACAGTTTTCCAAAAATTATTCAGGAGACCCAATTTGGATTGCCCCCCCACAATAAAGTAAAGTTTTTCGGGCATGGGTTTCGGAACAGAGAAAAAAAGAGAAGAAGATGATGAAAGAAAAGAGCAAAAGAAGAGCAGCTTCAAGTCGGAGTTCTGAGCTGTCATCCCCAACCTCCCGGGTTCAGGGTCTACGACCAGGCCGGAAAACAAGGATTCCTTATGACTTCGCTTATCTGAGGAGGCCTAGCCATCAAATTTTGAAGGGGGTAGTCCACGTGCTGCCCCGAACCCCATTTAAAAACAAAAATTGCACCCCCACAATAATGTCAAGGTTTTCGGGGGGAGGGGGGGGGGGGAGGGTTTAGGGTTTAGGGTTTAGGGTTTAGGCCTTCAAGCTTCTGAATTAAAGCCCTGGGCCCCTGAGCTTACCTGAGCTTACCTGAGCTGAGCTCATCTGAGCTTACCTGAGCTTAATTATGTAAGAGGAGAGGGAAAGGAAGAGGAGAGGAAGAGGAGAGGGAAGAGGAGCGAAGAGGAAATGAAGAGGAGCCGGTGGGGGGGGGGCCCGGGGCCGAAAATTAGTTTGGGGGGGTCCCTTTTTTTTAACACTATTACGGGGGTGGATTTAGTTTGGGGGGGGGGCCCCACACTAATCAGGATACCACATTAAGGCATAAGTATAGAAGGATCCTCATGGCCAGTTGAGTGCTGACAGCTGTATGGCTCCAGACTCCTCCATGAGAGTCCATGTATCCAAATGCGGCAGAAGGGTTCAGGGGTTAGGTTTCCAAGGGGGTTCCTGTTGACTTTGAAACGGGGCACCCAAGGACGTTCTGGTGAGGATCACAACCCAAAACCCGAAACCCTAAACCCTAAACCTTAAACCCTAAACCCCTAAACCCTAAACCCTCAAACCCCTTAAGCCCTAAAACCCCTAAACCCTAAACCCTAAACCTTAAACCCTCAACCCTCAACCCTAAACCCCTAAACCCCCTTAAGGTGCTCGAGGGTCCCTAAACCAAAGCATCCAACAACCAAGACCTCAGGTTAGTAAAGGAGGGCTCCAGCAAGGCTGGGTTAGTTTAGGGTTTAGGGTTTAGGGTTTAGGGTTTAGGGTTTAGGGTTTAGGGTTTAGGGTTTAGGGTTTAGGGTTTAGGGTTTAGGGTTTAGGGTTTAGGGTTTAGGGTTTAGGGTTATTTTGGGTTCAGTTAAGGTTTTAGGGTTTATGTTGTTTGTTTGGCGTGGTGGGGTGTTGGGCTAAGACTTAGGGGTTAGGGTTGAAAGTGTTGAGGGTTTAGGGTCAGCCCAAACCAAAAAAGACCCTCCACCCAAAAAACGGACCAAACCCTACATCCCAACACGAACCAAACCCCATAGCCCTAAACCCTAAACTCTCAGCCCGAAACCCCCAAACCCTAAACCCCTAAGCCCCAAAGAGCATGCCCACCATGATCGAATGGAAGAGCTTCAAAGTCGGCTGGTTGTCCCTGGCCTGGGGGCACAGGCACCGGCTCCCCTTCGTTTTGTTGAGCTTGGGGTTTAGGGTTTAGGGTTTAGGGTTTCGGGTTTAGGGTTTAGGGTTTAGGGCCGTCAGTAGCGCTTAAGGGCATAGGCTTGCGGCTTCGTGGGTTCGGGTTTAGGGTCGTTGCTTTTTTGTTGGGCTTCAGCGGTTTCGGGTTAAGGTTTAGGGGTTTGGGGTTTAGGGTTTAGGGTTTAGGGCTTTTCGGGTGTTCGGGCTTGAGGACAGTTCTGTGTTCAGATGTTTAGGGGAGGGCTCAGGGTTTAGGGTTTCGGGTTGTCCCATATCTGCACTCTACTGCGGCCTGATCGGCTAGTCATCCAGGCATTGCTGAAGGATGCAACTTTGGGATTTATGCATTGGGTGCTCCTTGCACACTCATAACAATATCAATGTAGCTGCGTGAACAAGGAAGATGAAAAGCCCACAAAGATAGGTGCAAAAGGGGTGCATCTTTCTGCAAAGCTAGACAAGTAATCAACCAAGAAACGGCGGTAAAGTCCTCATAACTGTTGAGTCAGGGTCTTTGAGGCAGTAACAACAACATGATTAAGCGCTCCAAGTTCCAGGATGATACGGTCGTTCTCTTCACGGTTAGACCTCCCTAAAGCCTAAACCCTAAACCCTAAACCCTAAACCCTAAACCCTAGGGTCTCAAGGTGTGGTGGGTGAAGAATCAAAGGGATGAAGACTCGTACCCCTAAGGTTGTACCCCTAACGGTTTCCCTTAATATACCCCGAATGTGGCCCTTATATGCTCTTAGGGATCCTTAAAAGAGGCCCCAAAACCCTAGGGAACAACCTCAAGGGTCCAAGGTAGAACCCCTAGAAAGAAGACAAGAGTCCACGAGAAAGAGCTGGGTGATGAATCCAAGGGTCGCGTATGGTGTGTGTGTGTGTGTATGGTTTAGAGTTTAGGGTTTAGGGTTTAGGGTCTAGGGTTGTTGACAAAGAGAACCTGATGTTGGGGTCCGAGGGTGGTTGAAAAAGGGAGTCAATCGAATATTCATCTGGGCTCCAGAAACCCTAAACCCTAAACCCGAGACCCTAAACGCTAAACCCTAAACCCTAAACCCTAAACCCTAAACCCTAAACCCTAAACCCTAAACCCTAAACCCTAAACCCTAAACCCTAAACCTTGGCATTGCAGCCATTTGGGCTCCCAGCTGCAAGTGTACGGCCTGCTGCCGTCAACTCCTGCGACCGCTCGTTGTTCCCCGGTGCAGGCTTGGGGTTTGGGGTTTGGGGTTTAGGGATTGGGGGTTTAGGGATTGGGGTCTAGGGTCTAGGGTCTAGGGTCTAGGGTTTAGGGTTTAGGGTTTAGGGTTTAGGGTTTAGGGTTTAGGGTTTAGGGTTTAGGGTTTAGGGTTTAGGGTTTAGGGTTCGGGCTGGTACTTAATTTTCCTTGGGGATGGGAACTGCTGCAGGACAAAATGACTGAAGCCAGCAGAGTGTACTACACATAGTAAACCTTGTAGTACACTACATCATATAGATATAGTGCAGCAATCGAATGATATCGTACACCACAACATTCAACGTACCAGTGTCGCCCTAAACCCTAATTATATACCGCCCAATATCCTTAGGAAACGCCAAGCTTAAGCCTTCCCTGGAGGTGTTTTCGGCACTCTCCATGGATGCGCAAGCACGTCCTGGACGTGGGTGTTCCCTCCTGCTCGTGGGGCTTGGACTCGTAGCTGCCAGAAGCTCAGGGCTTTTCGGCGAGTCTTTGAATGAGGTTTGCAGGCATCCTAGACCCTAAACCCGAAAGCTTAAACCCTAATTATTCATGTTCCCGAGGCCCGCTAGGGTCTTACGAGATGTGACGTCGCACGCTTCGTCAATGAGGAAGGGCATTTTTAAGAGACATAGCCGGGCTACCAGAACTAGGCTTGTAACCATTTATGACATCCACCGCTGATGGCGGCATACTTTCTAAGGATGCATCATGTTGATTCTTAAGAATATTGGAGTCCTGGTGGCGGGTGTGTGGTTTAGGGCCGTTTAGTGTTCCGGGCTTAGTACCCGAAGTTGTGGAAAACCCCTTGCCCATCTTTCGCGCAGCGGAAGATCCCGCTGCGAGCGGATGTCTTCGGCGAGGAGGTTGTTCCTATCGCAGGGTCCTGTAGAGGGCGGTCTTAGGGTTTAGGGTTTAGGGTTTGGGGTTTAGGGTTTAGGGTTTAGGGTTCGGGGTTTAGGGTTTAGGGTTTAGGGTTCAGGGTTTAGGGTTTAGGTAGGGCCTAGGGGTTAGGGTTTTGAAGACTCTTGGGCAACCAAGGGAGGGTCTTGTCGAAAATCGTGTCCAAGGGTCATGGTTGTCTTTGTCGCTGGGTGGTATACGTGCTGACATGTTCAACACGGCAAGTTAAGGCCGGGATGACTCTGGCCTTCAGGGGGAAGACAAAGCCCAGTTGCGAACATCCAAAGAATGAGAAGGCTTTCGTGGACTGTCTGGACAAGACGTTCGTGGGCAGGAGGGACATGAAGAAAAGTCTCGTTGCCGTTTACCCTAAACCCTAAACCCTAAACCCTAAACCCTAAACCCTAAACCCTAAACCCTAGACCCTAGTGAGCTGAGCAGCACTCTAAGATGATGGAGCGCCGCCAGACTACAAATGGGCTCAAAACATCGCGGGGCGAAGCAGGGAGAAAGCCTCCTACGCCACACTTTGCAGCTTGGCAGCAGGTGCAGCGCCATGTTCTCCATAGCTACATAGTATACATGAAGGTTTATTGCAGCTTATAAACAAGGCAAAATAAGCCCCAGTTGAGATCCGGCGGGCGCAGGCATGTCACACGGCCTAACTGCGTTTGTCGATTCTCTATCAACTAAAGGTCTTGACAGGCGGCCCGGGCAGTGGCAAGACGACAGTAGCGAGAGAGATGGGAGCTATGCTCAAGCGTTTTGGTATCCTGACGGCAGGCGCGAGTTCCTTAAGGACGAAATGAACCCTCAAAGGGTTTATGGTTCCGACAGGCATTAGGGGGGGGGCCATGCTTGGCCATTCTGCTGTTGCAGTCGCGATGGGGTTCCAACGTCTACGGCCAGGGGGCTTTGGTTGCGCACTGGGTGCAGGGTTTAGGGTTTAGCGTTTCGGGTAGGGTTGGGAGGGCTACCCCAAGGGTCCATGTACCATCATGATATACTTGGCTGTGCGCATCCTCCTCAAGCGCAAGACATATGCCGCTTGCGAAACTCCTGAAGTCACGACATGGCAGTCTAGTGGAAACGCAGCACGCGGAGGACGTCTGGAGATGTCTGCAGCTCTTGTGGCTCGGAAACCGACTCTTCCAGTGCAAGCGCAATGCGCGGACGTCCGGAGCTCAAGCGGCTGGAAAGTCGACTCACGCAGCACACACGGAACACACACGCACACACAAGCACAGAAGCACAAGCACAAGCGCAAGCTCAAGCGCAAGCACAAGCACAAGCACACACCCACCCACTCACCCACCCACGCGCGCGTGCAAGCGCGCGCAAAACAAACACACACACACACACACACACACACACACACACACACACACACACACACACACCCGCACACACACACACACACACCCGCACACACACACACACACACACAGACACACGCACACACGCACGCACGCACGCACGCACGCACGCACGCACGCACGCACGCACGCACGCACGCACGCACACACGCACACACGCACACACGCAGACACATTCCAGTCTGGGCGGTATAAGCCTGGAGCCCTCAGCAGAACATTGTGGAACGGCTTGGATGCTGGAGCCTGTCTTCCACCAGGGCCCCTGCGCGCACCAACACGCACACGCCCGTCCTTGTGTTAGGCGTCAAACTGGAGACGAATAACTTCGTGTTACCAATGAAGATTACTCATGTTTATAAGCCGAATCCAGGACATATTCGGGGGCCTACAGCATGCAGTTTGTAAAAGCCGGTCGTTGCCAGGAGAAGTCCATACGGTTCAGCGTGGACAGTTGTGCGCAGATGATGCGCACAGGACTGTCCACACCATCGTCAGAGAATGGAGCCTCGCCACAGTTCGGGGGAAGTCTTCTGGGAAGGGCTTTTTCTAAGATTGATTAGGGGTGTTATAGTAGACCGAATTGCCTATGCTGGGATGGACCGAGTTGATTCAAGAAAAGCCCTGACACATTGCGATGGGAGTGTTTCTTGCATCGTTTGCCTCCATGTCCTCTATAGGACCATATGCGGCGCCCACTTCGACATTTAGGGTTTGGGGTTTAGGGTTTAGGGCTTAGGGTCTCCTTCCAACAAAGGTTCGAGAAAGCCAAAGGTGGCATTCTCTTCATTGACGAGGCAGAAAGGCTCGTAAACGAGAATCCCAATCACTGTGGCAGGGATGTTGCGGAGGAAATCATGTCGCATCTCAACGAGGCTGATGACACGGTAGTGATCTTTGCAGGTTACGAGAAGGACATGCGCAAGTTGTATGCCGTCAACGAGGGTCTTGAACGCCGGATCTACATGGAAATCCACTTAGCTGACTACGAGCCACGCGACTTGGTGGAGATTTTCGAGCGAAAGGCACACGAAGAGGGTTACAAGCTTCGATTCAACCTAACCTTCCTGCAAGAGAGCATGAGCCAAAAGCAAGTGAAAAGTCTCATTCCTCGTTACAATGCTGGTCTGGTGGATCATCTCCTTTATGCAGTCGAGACAGAGATTTCGAGCCGGACCAATGACACCCAGGCTGTCATCATGGAGATCGAAAAGCAAGACATTACAGAAGGGTTCAAAAAGAAGGTGGATGAGTTGCAGCACAGGCCACACGGACAAACAAAGCTGTTCAGCCGCTAATTTCAGCAAGCCAACAAGCCGTCATGATGCGAGGGCTGGCAACACAGATTCAGCATGCACTCCGTCCTGGCCAAAAGCTCGCCGGACGACATGTGTTCCATGCGATGCCAACTAAGCATCGTAGATACTTGTAGCAAAAGGATTCAAGGCTCAGCTTCATGCGAGGCTCCTGGGTAATTGGTGTTGTATCCGTCGCCCGCATCGCCCGCTGAAGGGCCTGAGGCAGTGCCTCAAGGAACGCCTTGGTCGCCATTGGCTGCAAAAGTCTTGGGGTTCAGGGTTTAGGGTTTGGGGCCGTTTGAGTCCGTGCTTCTTTCAAGCACCGCTTGCCCACCCACCCCTGTTTAGTTCGTACAGCAACATTGCCCCAAAATGGCTTAGATCCCAACCCCCCTCACCAAAGCACAACATAAGTGTCACTCTCTTCAACCCTAAACCTTTCATGCATTTCTGAACTGGAGCTCCTGGCAAAGGCTGGAGTTTGCGGAGCCTCTCGCCCCCTAAACTCAATGCCCTAAATTTAAGAGCCTCCCCTCGCAGGAGAACAGGTGTAGGGTGGGGGCCCCACGCCTTTTGGGGGAGGAAAGACGGAACAAGCCGAAAACCCTAAACCCGAAACGCCTGCAACGCTTAAGGAGTTTAGGGCCCCAAACTCCTAACCCCATACCCCTAAAACCCTTCAGGTCTGTGTGCCGAACCAATGATAAGCCGTGCTTGGGGCAGTCGTCACTACTTGGAGTTTCAGGGTACCGAGAACTTATAACCCCAATCAGAAGTGTTACTACGAGACCCATACGTCCTCTAAGTAGGCTATAAGTAGACTTCTACTTGGGGTGAAGCAGTGAAATGTATCCATGAATTCGAACCTCGAAGCACATGATGGTGAAAAGATGACACGTAGTGACTTGGGGTCCAAGTATGCTCGATGTTTACCCTGAAAAGGCTAAACCCCGGAGAAGGCAAGTGACCGCAAGCAGTGGCGGCGCGGGTGCGGCGCAGGGGTTTTTGAGCCCGGGGTCCCGAAAGCCTAATGCCTAAACCCTAAACCCTAAACCCCAAACCCTAAACCCCAAACCCTAAACCCTAAACCCTAAACCCAAGACCCTCAAGGCCCTGTAACTTGAAATCGTTGAAACATTTGAAAAGAAACCTTCCTCTAAACTGTCACCGGGCCTGAACCCTTAATAATATCAGTAAACCCTAATAGCTTAACAAACATCTATGCCCTCTAATATCATCTTGGTACACATGTGTATGACTAGTCTCATTATTGGACACAACCCCTCTTATTTGACATGACCCAGAGTAGGCCTTTATTCCCTTGTTTAAGGTTTAGATTCCTCTACATACCCCTTCTATTCCTAGGTTGCTCCTAAACCCGTAGGTATTCCTAGGTTACTCTTGGGCCTAGACCAGGATTGTCTATCCCTTAACTCCAGCAAGAACATCCAGGAACCAGGCTTGGATGAGCCAACTCCACTAAACCCAAACAAAAAGCTGAACCCACAAACCCTACACCCTAAGCCTGAACCCCAAACCCTCCACTTAAAACCCTCAGCCGTAGAGCCTGAACCCTAAACCCTAAACCCTATACCATGAACCCTAAACCCTAGCCCTAAACCCTAAACCCCTAAACCCTAACATGCAGAGAGGCAGCTTGCGGTCCGCAGTGCGCTCTGCGCCTGCCAGGCTGCGCTTAGCCTGCTCCTCTGACGCTGGGACCTTCAGTGTTCAGCGTCTAGGGTTTAGGGCTAGGGTTTAGGGCTAGGGTTTAGGGTTGAGGGTTTAGGGTTCAGGGTCCAGGGTTTAGGCTTCAGTAGGGTTCAGCGTTAGGGCCAGTTTAGGGCAGTTTAGGGCTTAGGGCTTAGGGCCAGTTTAGGGTTTTGGGTCAGGGTTTGTTTAGGTTTAGGGTTGAGGTTTAGGATTCAGGGTTTAGGGTTCAGGGCTTAGGGTTCAGGGTTTCGTGCTTAGCGTCTAGGAGTATACATATACAGTATACAAGTCTCAGGGTCGTATATCAGAAGGTGACATCAGGGTTTAGGGTTCAGGATCTAGATTTTCATTTGTATATTTCCTACAGTTACAGAACAGCTAGAGTAGATACTTTGACCCAACAAGGGACTACATGGTAGTTTCTTCGGGGGCTGCATTTTTCCCTATGACCGCAGCACCTGAATCCTTTGGGATAGGGCTAGGCCCTTCGTCAGGCAGGGCTGGGAATTCGGAGGTTTGGGATTGGGTTCAAGGGGCTTAACTACAGTAGGACCCGGAGTAGGCCCGTATTGCCTTTTTGCAGGGTTGGGGTTCCCTTGCAATCCCCTTGAAAACCCAAAAAGGGTTACTCCTGGGTCTATTTAAGTAGGCTTCAGGACTTCTAGGTTGTCAAGTTATCCCAAAGCTTGGCTTTCGGTTCGGGTAGGTTTGAGGCCCTGCCACCGCCTCATCCCTTCAGGGAATCTCAATCGCATTTAAATTCGGGTGGCCCCCCCCCCCCGGCCCCCCGCGTAGGTTCTTTACTGATTCCTTACTCATCCCTAAACCCTAAGTCCTAAACCGCAGGTAGGTTTGCTGATAGAAGGACCCCATTGTGGGGTTCAGGCTATTTGGCAAACCCAAAGTGCATGGGGTTTAGAGTTTCGCGTTTAGAACAAACCCCCGAAACCTTCAAGAGATGTCAGGCACCTTCTCTATCGATGTGCACCACAACTACTGGTTTGCTTTGTGGCAATTCGCCGCGCGGCTACATTCTGAGAGGACGTGGGATCTACGTGAGCTGGCAAGGGTCCCCCCCCCCCCGCCCCAGATCTAAGAATAACTCAGCATACCCCCAACCCATACCCTTTAACCTTTAAGAGGAGAATGTATGGAAGGAGTTTTCCATACCCCCTAAACCCTAACCCTGGACCCTAAACCTTAAACCAGGGCATGTCCAAGTGGCATGTTGAATCTTTCTTCGACTACATCGCTTTTGCTGACATTGGCTCCAGGCTCCAGGGCCTGGGCGTACCATTAATTTTGGGTCCTAACAGCCTAACCCTAAACCCTAATCCCTAAACCCTAAACCGCCCTAAACTCGATACCCAGAAAGCCCAACACTTCGGTAGGCCCTTGGGACAGTTTATGTCTTCCCCTATTGGGTTTAAGAGGATCATGTTCACTCTGTGGTGCTTTACCGTAACTTTAGATCCTTAGCCTTTTTGGGTTTATTGGGTTTCTTAATAAGACAGCTAAACAATAGATTTATAGCTACCCTGCGAAGTGCAGCCAAGTAAAACCCTTATATGCACTACGTAGAACCCTAAGGGTCCATGCACCTAAACAGGGAATACTGGGGCCTTAACCCGCCTTCTATATAGGGACTTTGGGGCACAAGTACGTAACAACAAGGCACATGGACCCTCAGGGTCTTAAAGTAACCTATGTATCCCTAAACCCTCAACCCTAATTCCTAAACCCTAAACCCCTTTTTTGCGTTTTGTCATAATACGGTCCCATACTTCGGATGCCTAGAAACAAGAGTAAGGGGCCGCCTAGGGCCCATGGTTCAAACCGTAGCCAGTGGTCCACAAGGTTGGCCTAACCTTCAACCCTGAACCCTAAACCCTAAGACCCTAGACCCTAGACCCTAAACCCTAAACCCTAAACCCTAAACCCTAAACCCTAAACCCTAAACCCCAACCCCCTAAACCCCAACCCCCGAAACCCCACAAGGTTAGGGTCTACCGCAAGGGTTCCCAGGTGGCGTCGCTGTCGCTGTTCATCCAGTGGCGCTTGGCGAACCCGCGGCCCGGTCTTCCGATCTCCTACGGACTTCCGGTATCTCCCTAGCCCTAAACCCTAAACCCTAGACCCTAAACCCTAAACCCTAAACCCTAAGCCCTATGCCCTAAACCCTAAACCCTACCCCCTAACGTACTCAGAGCCTCGCAGTGGGGCCTTCTTCCCTAGCACACTGACCCTATTTAGGGTTTAGGGTTTAGGGTTTAGGAGGCGTTTAGGGTTTAAGGTTTAGAGTTTGGGGCATTGGAATCCTGGCCATGCCCATACCTGCGGCTTCTTCGAGGTCTCGTGTCCTTCTCGGGTTTCAGAATCGTCGGTGAAGGCCGGGGCCTCTTTAAGGTTTGGGGTTTAGGGTTTGGGATTTAGGGTTTAGGGTTTAGGGTTTAGGGTTTAGCGCTAGGGTTTTGGGTTTAGAAGCAGGATCCTCCGGCTGCTCCGAGGCACATGTTCCTGTTGCGTTCCACCGCCTGCGTCGTCCGCGCCCTCATCTGCTGTCACCTCAGCTTCTGCGGCCGGACGTCGATGTTCCATGGTGCCGAGGCTGGCTGGATTGGGTTTAGGGTTTAGGGTTTAGGGTTTAGGGTTTATGGTTTAGGGTTTAGGGTTTAGGGTTTAGGGTCTAGGGTCTAGGGTCTTAGGGTTCAGGGTGAGCCTAGGCATCATCCCATGTTAGAGGAGTGCTCCCTTGCCGGCCCCGGCGACATCCGCTGGCCGTTCAGAGTGCTCCATAGCATCGTCACTCGGCGATCGCTTCTTTGGGGGGGAAGGGGGCTGTTACACGGTTAGTAGGGTTTAGTGTTTGGGGTTTAGGGCTTAGGGCTTCGGAACCCTAAACCCTACCCCTAAACCCTAAACCCTGAACCTCCAGATTGAACAAGTCTAAGAACACTAGACTTGATACTCCTGTTTTCATCACCCTAAACCTCCAACCCCCTTCCTCCCAGAAACCCAAGCAAATGCTACCAGCCCTATGCCTTGGCATGCTCCCCCTTAATTCTAAGGTTTAGGGTCTAAGGTTTAGGTTTAGGGTTTGTCCTTAATCGAGATGATGATAGGGGGGGGGGGGGTAGAATCCCTACTAAGGACTGTTCGCATAAGGCGGAAAAGCACGACCTATGCCCGAACAAGCCCCTAGGCCTCCTAAACCCGAAACTTGGCAGCCCTAGCCTGCTCCCTTTTTTGGGGGGACCTAGGTTCCTTGTAAAGTAACCAACCCCACC